TGGCTCCGTAACTCATCCTCTCTTATTTAGTGCCTTACTTCAATGCATAATCATAATTAACATACGTAAAGCTTTCTTTAATTTGTCTCAGAAAATAGCGGATTAAACGCATTTGGACAAAGTCACTCTTTTTTGAGCTGCCCAGCCGATCGAAATGGACATTTCGACTGATAAAGTTGGATTAATGCACCTCGAAATTTACTGATGCTTTAAAAGTTGGCCATTAGTTGGACATTAAACTGAAAGCTCCTCCCATCTCCCCCTACCCAATGTCTACCCCAAGTATATACGACGAACCGCTTTTCGTCAATTAGTGCTACCCTATAGGGCATTTCTTTAATCCCGTCATTTTTACAATCGATGAGCGGCTTGACAGCAAGCCATCTATCATTTTTAATCAAATTAATTGTAAAAAAACGAATAAAAGTTTAAGAGCTAATTTTAACCAGGGTAAAGCGTCTTGTTTAAAATTGGTCCTACTTCTCAATAAAACTCCACTCTTTTTAATTAATTTATGATCACTAACATTTTTCAATTTGGTACAATGTTTAATGAGGAATAACCGTGGATGAGATTGGAAGAAAGGTCACCAAAACTCTTCTGGCTTTGATTTGAGAAGGTTTGAGTTAACAAAGTGGAATTTCTCCCTTTCTCTCCTCCTGACAAACCACTAGTGGCTCAGGTTGTTGAAGTAAATCTCAATCTCAAATCTCACCATTGGCAGGATGAGCTTATGTCGAGGTCATCTAATTGATTATTGCTAGTCGAAGCGATTGACTTTTTTCGACCTCTGAACTCATCTTCGGCGTGTCGGCGCTTTCTTGGTTATAATCTTCCTCCCTAAAGAAGTCACAATCCAACATTTCGTTCAAGGTCAATTTTGGAGTAAGTGTTTTTTGCGATCAATTGGGAAATTCGGAAATAACAATTAGAGCTATTCAAATTCGACTACAACTTTTACTCACTTGCCTTGATGACTAAAATCCAACTAAACGCTTGCAAAACCACAAGGCATAAAGCCTCTTTATAGAACTAGGAGCTGTGAAGAGATCTTAGTATCAATGGAAAAAGTATTCCGAGTGGCCTTTTATAATACCACATTGACATCTATTTACTTCTTTTCCAAATAGTCTTCTTAAAACGGCTTCCTGTGCAAGTGGGCTTAGTAAAATAGGAAGTAAGTAACTTTCCCATCAACTCCTATTTCATTTTCCAGTGCTGAAGGTTGGCCTTTTGAAAGGCTCATACCTATCAGGAGTTCCAAGGAGACATTCCTCCATTCAGAAAGTCACAGTTGATAAAAGTTACGTACAAGCATCAGTTCCACACACTATCATCATATATGTATTCATATTCTATATAAGCGCTCCCTTTTATATGGGAGTTCAATTAAATCAAGTCAGAGAGAGAGGGGGAGAGGGGGGGACATTTTTGACATTTTCCCAACGCCTTTGAACTTGCACTCCTTTCTTCCCTTTTGTCCTTTCACGGTGAATGGAAGTAAAAGCTGAATTAAGCGAGCGTTGCCCAGCGCATTCGCCTTCTACCGCCTTTGAAGAAGGTCGTTATGCTGCTCATGAGTCATTCTATTGGGCAGAGCCCATGGAAGTCCTTAAAGTTGACACAACGTTAAGACCGAAAAAGGAATTAGAATTGTCCTTATATAAATATAAATATATATATATATATATATAAATTTCTGACTAGCTGTTCTAACACCCGTGTCATTGCACCTAAAACTTATCTCATCCCAAAAGAGATCAGGCTACTGATTCTCCTACGGTGTGTCGGCGAGAAATGTAACTTTAGCTGACTACTTAACGTATAGGTAAAATGAGGCCACTTCAAATGATCAAAGTCTTCATCTTGATCTCGCTGAAAACAAGATTAGCTCTAAGCTCTAATAATAAAAAAAGACTTTCGAGAGATTAACCTGGAAGACTTGAGGGAGAGAAGTGGAAAATGTGGCACAAAGGACTAGGAGAAGACTTGAGAGCGCACGACCTCCTGACCAGCTCACAATCTACCTATTTAGGTAGGCCTTTGAGATGAATATGAGAGCAGAAGAAAGTCAATCATTCCTCAATTGACGTGTCACAAAGGGCCTCTATCCGGGGCAATTGGGTGACACACGAACTTCATCCTATAGGTAAATTACGAGAAATCCAATTTGAAATCATAATTGCTCCCCCAATTATAATGCTTTCAAACATTATAGCACTCCGAGATGTGTTTACTACTTTAAAGTGGTTTAAGTGTTTCAGGGTTCGTGCTTCACCACTAAGCAGGTCACATGACTATGCATTGTTATTCTACACTGTATTGTGAAGTTGAATTATCTTTCCTCAAAAATTCCCGGAAGTTGAACTCACATCACGAAAGATGTCCAAGTCACTGCGATTTTCCAAAATCCAGTGTGCCCGATGTGTGAGTCAAAATTAATAATTGCGCTTTAGAGGCTCTTAACTGCTTTAAATACTGCTAAATAGAGTAGAGGAACTTCTCCCACAGGATGGAATTTTTCCCATAATATAGACTTAATTTTGCAAAAATAGTCCCATTTCAAGTTTGGAGCCTTTTATTCACATCTTCCGTTGTGAAAAAAATCCCTTGGTTCAAAATTTTTGAACATTAAAGTTTAGGCGGAGTTGGGACTTAGTTCTTAAAACATGTGTGTGTGCGAAAATAGCAGAGGAAGTCACCTTTCAGGAGCAAAAAATTTACTAAAATTTTCAAATTCCAATCTCCTTCCAATTCTTCTATAGCTACAGAGCCGATAGCTGGTAAATCAACAGGAATTTTTCCTTACAAGTCTTGAATGATTTGAAGGTGCTTTTGAAAATTATTCTGTCCATTTTTTCCTTCCCATTTGATGCTCTCTCTCTCTCTCCTTAGGTGTCAAAACTCTCACGGAACGTCTTTTCTGAAAAGTACACGAATATAGCCGTACAACCAGCAGACATAATTGATTCCCACGTCTGTTACCCTCAAGGTCAACATTCATTTGCACATAGCGACAACGCTGGCTACTATTTATCAAGAGATGGGAGAAGAGGGTGAAAACATAATGTAACGTATCTCAGTTCAAAATAGGTGCTGAGTGTGGGAGATCTAGTTTTAAAGCGTATCCTTCAAATAACTCAAATGATAACCCTCTCTCCGGTAATGCAACAGAGGAAGGAGAGTAGTTTTGACGCTTTGAGGCGACCTATCGCAGCCTGTTCGGGCTAGTCATGCAGTTCTGCCAATATCTCCAAATTCCTTTATATTTTAACCCCCCCCCCCCCCCCCCCCCCCCCCCCAACTCCACACACCGGCACACCTGACAAATATCCTCACTACTTTATGGCTGAATATGAGTTTATTATAGAAGTAAAGTGTATAATAGTAGGTGAGGGTGGCTGAGAGAGTCTAGGGCATGGAAGGAGTAAGGTCAGTGTTTACAATAGCGCGGCGCCGATATTACTATTAATAATAATTAGTAGTAGTAGTATTAGTAGTAGTGGAAGTGCGTCCAAACGAGCTTAAAAATGCAGACAACGGGAGGAAAATGTTGGCGCGCGTCTCTTTCACCGGGAAAACACGCCACACAATGTATATGCTGATCGGTGTGGGGATACGAGGTACATCACTACAACAAAGGTACCGGCGCTATGAAAATGGGATTATACGTATCGAGGTTACGAGGCAAGTCAGTCGGGATGTTAATGTGAGGTGTAGATTAGATAGAGATAGCAAAGAGGAGTGAAGTAATCCTCGAAAGACACAACAGAATAGGGGTGGGATGGGGAGGGGGAGTTAACTATACAGATTGTACGTTGATCGTCAGCGATGGTGACGCAGTGAAGATCAAGAAAGACAAAGGGCGAAGTGACTAGATGCGATTGTTGAAGCAGATGTCCTCATTAGGGCGTCTGAAGGGTAAACGGACTCATTGCGCGACAGAGGGGATACTTCAATAACACCGGTTTGGTACCTCTGACTGGCAGCAAGTTTCGAGTATAATGGTGGACCATTATGGGGACTGTTGGGTAGGGTTGGCTGTATTCCCCGAGAATGAACGCATCTGACTTGGGATCGAAGGAAATCTTCATATGCAAGAAGTCCCTGTCGCGTCTAAAGAAAAAGAAACAGGAGATTAATCACCACTATCAGTCTTACCTCGATATGAAAAATGATAAACGATCCCTCTTTCTAACTAAAACAGTCAAGCCCACTTTCAATATTAGCGAAAGAGGAGGAGAAATGTACCAATTCAAAATTAAGAGTGGGGGAGAGTAATGGAAAAGAAAGATGAAAACATTTGATTTGCCTTCAAGAAAATCACAGGAATTCCTTGATTATTTGGAGTAAAAAAGCCAAACAAAATTCGATACGCGAGCAAATTATGTGATCAATTTACGTTTGTTTCACCAAACAATTGGGAATGTTCAAGGTTGCGCATTTAACCAATGAAATAATCCTGCAAACAAGCAAGGCAGCTTAAAATTAGTTCATCCTGCTGAGTCACTCAACAAGAAACAACACTCCTTTCTGTTTCTCTCCCTTAGCTATAATAATTTCCTTGTGGAATCATCAATACTGCTCTAGTGAAACCCCTAATATATATATACCAATACTGAGTCTATATGAATACATGCATATGCGCATGGAGTTGACGTATTTGGAAGCTTGCGGGAGCGTAAACGCTGTTAGTTGCGCCTAGAAATGAGTGCCACCTACCTTCTGGTGCGTGGGAAGCAAATTAATCTGAAAAATCTCCTCGGGCGACATAAATTTCTCCCACTAAAAGACTTCATTTCCCATATCCTCTCAGCAACCGATTATTGTGCCGTAGATTGCATATCAGACCAAAAGTACATATGGGAAAAAACTAACCTGATGGAGAGTGAGAAGGCAGCTTTGCTAGTTTCTGACGTGCGAACGAGGAAACTTCCAGGAGGAGCTGAACGCAGAAGAGACTCAGCTTCAGCACGAGGCAAACGTCCGTGGAACCACCTGAAATAAGGGAAGGGAAGGGAGATTTTAGTAGCTGTTTTCTGCTCTAAAACGAATAGACAAAGTCAAACATTAGCAGCCTGAGGCTGAACGCTAAATACGAGTGCACGCGCAATCATCACCGCACCCTTAAACGAACGCGCGATGCGTACGTGTGACTGTAGGGATCGATAAGTCTTGTGCATGGGGCAGTCGAGATTTGTGAACGTACAATTGCGCGCACACTGACACACACACACACACGCACTTAGACATATACGTGCGCACATTAGCGCGAAGTTTCACTCAGCAGTAATTCACTCCATACACATGTATGTATAACTGTATGGACGTATGCACGCGACTGTGGCGTATACAAACGGTTTTACACAAAAGAAAAACCCTCTACTTTATTTTATTACCCCCACTCCAATCACATACTTGGGGAAAAGCAGAAGAGCTGCCTTAACTCCTTTGAGGGCACTCTCTTTTACTCAAAGTATTGCAAGTGATTCGCAAAGACAAGAGAAAAGAGGCAATAAAGCTTACTAGAAGCCAGGTGGAATTTGAATTTGAAACTGCTACATTATTCTCTAGAACTAAACCCCATCCATCAGCTAACAGGTCACATTTAATGGATATGGTTGAAATGAGTGAGGAGGGGTGGGCAAGAGGAGGGGAGAGGGGGGTGGGCAAGAGGAACCAATGAAGCATGTCAAAAAACTGGGCCAAGTCAATTTTAATTTTTTTAAGCAGTAAGACCAAGTCTCATGGTCTCAAGTCTTAACTACTAACCGAGAATGATGGGATAATTTGAAATAAGCAAAGCGAGATGAATTGAAAAAGTCAATTTCAAATAAAATCAATGTTAAATGTCTGATAATATCCCGCACCTCGGACGAGATTAGTTTATAATTCCAAATTTTAATCGGAAAGAAGAGTTACAAGCCAAACTAAGGTTATGGGAAAGTAGTAACTGAAAGCGCTTCAAACGGAGTACTTTCCTAAACCATTTAGAAGAAAAACGTCTCCCAAGACACATCTCGGTCGAGGAGGTGCTATCATGGAGCGCCGTCTTGATGAGAAACGCAAAATCTCCCGCCCCTCTTAATTAGACACAGTATACCTGACATGGAGCATACGACGACTGACACTTTTCAGCGCATTCAACACTGTTTGCATAACAAACAAAATCTAAGCAAATAAATGGTGAAATAGAAAGTTTGCCATTTCGTAACTTGGAAATTCATTCGTTATCGTCAGAAGGAGCGTCACTTATCGACTCAAGGGAACATTAAAGACAAGTAGTAGTAAGGAGAATCCATCGAGAGCTCGTAAACATATCTGCCAGATTCCTACCACCTTAAACGCATATCAACAGAAACATTTTATGAGGTTTAAAGGAATAAAATTTTTCGTCTGTACCTCAAACCCACTAGGCCACAGCAACGTCTTTTTTATTGGGTACCAATTAAAAATCAGACAATAGTAATAAATAATGATTTACAATATCTCCACAAGCAATAACAACAGTTCAAGGAGTTAGAAGTTAGGCCATGTTTAGATTTAAGTTGGGCGATGAAATAAGTATCGAAGAGCAACAAGCACTTACGGTTGTTCTTCCACTGGCAACGACACAAGAGCCGCCAAATCAGCAGCCCTTTTTCCTCGATTGCGTCCAGTCACAAGAACTTGTGGCCTTCCATTATGTGGAACGGCGACTTTAGCCCCCGTCGACCTCTTATCCATAGGGTAGGAACCGTCATCTCCAGCAGGAACGATAATCGGTTGAGTTGGATGATGATGGTGATGACTATTCTGAGCACGTCTTCGTCTCTGTCCGCTAACGAGTTGATGCTGTGGCCATAACATGTAAGTCTGACCTGGATAGGCATGTACTGGGGCTGTCTGATACTCAAATACTCGGCCATCTGTCCATACGGCATCATCCGTATTCACCTTACCCCCAAGGTGAGGCGGGCATGACACCTGACTTTGGAAGAAAAACCCTCCATTGGAAGGCATTTCACCGGGGGAAGTGGTATTCGAGGAGGAGGACGAGAAGAAGATGCGCCTTCCATGATGATAAACAGGCAAACTGGCAGCATCTTGAGGGGAGAGAACTAGGCCCGAATCAGTGAGATGTACCGCCTTCATTTGTCGACAGATGCGATGCTGTTGAAGGTTGGAGGAGGCTGTGGAACTGTCGTCACAACCAGGCCAGTCGATTAGTGACTGTGTCATCAGCTCCGGGTTTGCGACAGCTGCAAAAGCCTTGCGCTGATTGGCTCCTGAAGAGCGCTGATGATGTTGCTGATGCTGCTGCATGCTGGAACGATGGCGAATCGAACGCGACTGCTGCATAAACTGGCCCGATGAGTCATTACCTAAATCCACAGAAAAATAGAATCAGTGTATGGTGGAGGTAGACGTGCGACATAAATCAGACTGATCAGTTGCATTCACACAGACCAGCTAATGTAAATCTAATTTAGTCAATCCTAGGTGCGGATGGACAGCGAGTGAATTAATGGAGCAGAAAAAGAAGAGGCGATATTGTAGGAGTCAGCAACACAGTACACAGTGCTAGATAGCTTAGCGCCCATTAATCACCTTTAAGAACTGAACATTTTTATGAGCGCGCGCTTTTTTGCGCGATAATGAACCCATAAATCCCCTGTGGTTCACATAAATTGGCGTTCCAGACATTAATTAATTTGTGTTTAGAGGTCCGCTTAGCGGAATAAACAAACCAGGTGTTCATGTAACGAAATTGAAACTTGACTTTCATCACAGAATAGGTGCGTAGCCTTCCTTGTTAGTTGTTTCAGATTTGTGCCTGAAGCATACAGGCGCAAAATGAGATTTTTTCGCCAGAAAGCAGGATATGCATCAATTTGATCGGGGGAGTTGGGGGGGGGGGGGGGGGGGGGGGGGGGGGGGGGGGGGGAAGNGGGGGAGGGCGATAAATGTGGAGAAACTGTGACAGATCCGAGACGATAACCAACTACACTGGAAATCCTATTTTGGCAAGGCTGCATAGAAAATATACGGGGCGTGTTAACAACACCACAGGGAGCAAAAAATCAAACGCTGAGGTACAAGCGGAGGAATTAATGAAGATGGAATGGAGTCCTACCTTGAAATGACATGCGGGAGCCGGGCGTGTTTTGCGATAAGGGAGAGTTTTTGTCAAGCCAACTCTTAGAGTAAAAAGGAGGTAGGATGAGTCGTCCTATTCAGAAACATAACAGGGAAAAACGAGTAGGAAAAGAAGGACATTTTCTTGAGGCGTCAGACTACGATTTTTTCACAGTGGGTGACAAAATGGACAGCCACGAGTAGATAACAGAAGTTCTGGCCAAATAATACTAATTAGTACACGGTCTAACAACAGTCCGATTCTAGTCCCGATTAGGAGTGTATTGAAAACCTTTTCAAAATTAAAGGCGGAAATGAATGGTTGACTATGAATCAGCAAGGAATATAGACTGGCAGATTGCTAGTTCATTGCTAGCAAAACTGTCATCTCAACTCAAAATCGACGATTGGAGAAGCTCAATGACAGTGACAGACACATCTAGAAAACTACTTGCTATTGTCACTTCCTTAGGGGAGGGGAAGAACTACTCTCCAAGGTCTAGTCACTCATGCCATTGATAACGGACATAGATGTCAAAAATCCAAATGAGAAGCTCTCTGGTGTTTGTTGAGAGTCCAGACGTGAGAATTGAAGGGTTGGGGCTAGTGGGAACAGGGAAAAAATACGGGGACCAAGATTTACCAAAATTAGATATCAGACCATCAAGTCAATAAGAGGACATCTGACAGACCAGACAATGTCTCGCCTTCTCGACTGAGACACAGTCTGGTTCGAACACGGAATATGACATTTCCAACCTAGACGTGTCACGTGAAAGGGGTGGGTAACACTAGAGCCTTTAAAATCAGTGCTACTGAAAGGAGAGAGAGAGAGAGAGGAAAGGAGGAAAGGGATAGAAACCAACTGCATGTATTTAGGACTGCCGGAGAAACGAAAGCAACCACCTGATTTGGAAGTCAGGTTCCGGAGACGTCATGACAGTTAAAGGAAGGGCGCACATTTCATCTTCCTCTCCTCTCTGCTCGAAAACTACAATATTTTTAAAGCCAATTCCACCAAATCGCGCTTACAAAACGAGCATTAAATGAGCATACTAATTTAACATTTCCACAGATCGTTTTCATTTCGTTTAATTTAAACACTACTCATATAGGTAGTCCTAATTGAGAATAGTTAAACGGGAATCGAAGTAGAAACTGCATTCGAAAAGATATGTGCACCCAAGGTTTCGGCTGTAGATGACCATTTTGCGTAAGAAAAGAAACCTACAATTTATTATGCGCAAGAAAATTAAATGATTACTTCGCATTCCAAAAAAATATCTATTAAGTGAAAATTAACCACAGAAATAGACCTTAAATAAGAAATAATGGACTCAACTCAACGAATGAATTCTATCACGTCCACCAGGCTGACCTTCAGTCGACCAATCGCGGTTCTTCTAACAACACTACCACAAGATGAAAGGTGTTCCGTTGCTGCGTAGCATACAACGAGGTTCTAATAATAATGATTTCAGTTTCGCCTCTATTTCGGGGGTGATATTAGGACACTCCCATAGGGAGGATGAGTGAGTCATTGAAAGAAAAGGCGGACTTCAGGGTAGGTCAAAAAGGACGGTTGATTGGGCAAGAAGAGGAGACGGTTCGCAGGGCCTACATTCAAATCGTCCTCCGGACCACCGGAAACGACATTGGGTGGTCTTAGACAGATTTGAATGAATATCTTCAAGATATCGCCAGAAAAACTGTCAGCTAAACACCCCCCAACGACGATTATCGCTCTAATTGGCCTCAATTTACAGACATAAGCCAAGTCTCAAAAATGCAATTTAAAAGAGAAAATTTTAAATCCAACCTAGAAAGATGGAAAATTCACTTAAAACCTTACTTCATAGATAAATGAACTTGTAAACCGCTCAATCTAATCAATCAGGCTTTCATGAGATTTGACCCTCGTGACATTGGTATAAATTAAATACCCACTTATCTGATTGATTTGATAAAAAAAGTACTTTTGAGTTCAAAATTAATTATTAATACTTATTTAATAAGCGTGGCCTTGCTTGGACGTTTAAGTAAAATAACACATTGCATTTACAGAGAGACGAAAGAAAACATCGTTTTAATAAGTATGATATACAAACTCAGAAGGAACTTCTGGATCCATTTTACAGTTGAACTATATTTGTGCCCCCCCCCC